CTTAAAGTGTACACTAGCTTTGTGTGTACTGAGTGGGCTTGGAACTCAGTGTACCAGTGGACTTAATCTTCCAACCTTACTTTATGTAATAGGATGCCCTCTCCGTACAGGTATTAGTTTGTAGGTAACCCTGTTTGTAGACTGTTTTTTATAGTCGGTAGCACTCAGAGGAACCTCATGTTATTATTTTGATCAAAGAAATGAAAATGCACTACCTTTATGCTACAAACACAGCAGAATAACATATAAAATAAATAAGATGAAATAAAATGCAGTTATTTCCTTACATATTTATATACACGTATACAGCCAGGAAATAATTCTGCAGTGCATCTTGTGAATTTGCATCTGGTTGCAGCAACAAGATAGTGATGATAATAAGGGTTCATCTTCTCATAAAAAGAAACAGTGTCCATCCACTTTGACTGTGTTTGAGCACCAAGCATCATCAATGAAATTACAGAGTCGGCCTCCTCTCATCCTGCACTCTGTCAGCTGGGAACATGGTCTGCCTGTCGAGTGCTAGATCCCAGATGCTGATGGAGCAGGTCTCTGTAAAGATGTGCGCACAACAGACTCTGATTTCCTGTTGTTTGGCCAGCCCCATTTCATCCAGATTGGACATTAGCTCGAAGCAGCCTTAAGTCCAGGCTGGGCCAGCATGGCTGCTATACGGCTCGCTTCGTCTCCTCCTGGGGCAACTGTAACCACTGTGGTGGGTTGGTCCCGCTGATCTGTCTGGGTGGATTGCTTTAAGGTTTGCTGCTCTTTGATCCAAACCCACACTTACTTTTCTGATGACTGTAGGCTGTTTCTGTCAAAGGTAATGCGTGTGAGAGGTTTGAATGAGCTAGCCTAGTATTTCATTGATCCGCTATGAGAGAAGGATGCATTAAAGCTGCACCCACCAATTTTTTTAATTGCAATGGGTTAATTTACTGTGTGTGATGTGAACAGTGTCACTGATAGTGACAACCCCACATTATTGAAGTATCACTTAACTCTGCAGTTCCCCTCAGCTCTACAGAGCATTTTAGCATTTAGTTTTGGTTTTGCTACCTGACACTAAACTGCTCTGGTTCGTTCAGTGCTTTCATTTACCTAATTTTAAGCAACAGACAGCAATAAATCAATTTAGGCTGCTAACCCTGCACAAAATATCAGACAGAGAAAGTTAGCAAGTAGCCAGTAAACATAGTGGAGCATTTAGCAGCCAGATATATCCCATGTGTTGGTGGAGAGCTAAACAACAGCAAATGAATGCTAATGTTGCTGTATTTTGGTTGGATACTGTGTAAATAGGCCACTTTTTGCTCGCATGTTAGCCATTTGAACTATATTAGGCAATGATATACCAGTGTTGTGTTTGCAGCTTGTTTTGCTGCCCCCAAGTGGCCAAATAAAATCAGTTAGTACAGCTTTAAGTGACTCTTAAGCTAAATTAACTTGAAAATGAACAATGCCATAACTTCTGTAGCTCAATACCTCTAATGGAGGCACTGAGAATATCACAGTAAAGTCACTGAGGATTAAAATTATTCTGTGGTCAGAATTGTATTTCATCCAAAGTTCTTTTGTATCTCAAAGACATGTTCCTAATTTAGCTGTGTCCTCATTGCTGCCCTTTTTAACACCCCAGGTTTGTAGCTGCTCTGATGACTTTCATAAGCAACACTGCGTCCTGTAAAAAAGTAGAGTGAAGACTACAGTGTTATAGTGCCAGAAAGACTGAGTTTGAATGACATATTCTGCTCATGTCAGATCACACATGAAACGATAGCATTAGTAGTTCCTCATCAGTTGAATTGAAGGTGGATTGAAATGCTAATTTTCCAATTAACAGTGAAGGGGTGTCATGGTAACAGCATTGAGTACTGAATACTGAATAGTGGAAATAGCAGTTGCACTGTGGTCCTCTTGATTTGTGCCAGTCTTGTCAGCGCTGTAGCTGCTTACTCTCAAAGACCTTACTGCTCTTATGTTTTAAGATGATAGTCTTCATGTTCAGGACACCAGCTGGGTCTGGGGGATTATTATCCTCATTACCAAATTAGCTAAAATAAGATTTAGGGTGGTACTAAGGACCCAATTTGAAGCATTTGGTCTAGAGGACAAGCCATTGTGAATGCACAGGAGGATACATGGGGGATCATGTGTGTGAAGGAGAACATCAGTCAAATCAAGTTCCTATGCCAGCTTAGTGTATGTACTCAGTGTAGCGATGACAATGACAATACCTTTCAAACTGATGCATCATGTCCATTATGTCAGACAAATCAGAATTTATCGACAGACCTTGAAAAGAACAACATTATTTCACAATTCACATTCTCCTTCCAGTTTTAACCCGGCGTCCTCAAAGTCTCTGCCCAACCTTGTGCTGCTGAACACTCAGAAATATAAATTAGCCTTGAATAGCATTAGCAATCAACTAAGAGCTGGAGTGTTTATTGTGCACTTTCAATCAATATGACAAGTCACTAAGATCAGGGATTTCTTTGCTTGTTCTGCTTTTTAATTATTGAAGCTGCTGTGCTGACTGGAATGACAAAACTTCTAAGTCTGTGCTTCTTTAAGCTAATAAGGTTACTCTTTGTGCCTGTATAAAAAGAAAAAGAAGAAAAGGAACAAACCTTTATTTAATACCAGGCCTAAAAATTTATGTTTCTTTTTAAAGGTTCACTTTTACACATTGACTTGACACTGGATGTCGCACTAGAGAAGCATATCAGACCAAAACAATGAGGCAGACAAAAAATAAAACTGTCTTTGTTAGTCTTTCCACAGACGTTCCAACCATCCAATTATCCCTCATATCATTGTAATATTGGAACGTCATTCAAAGTGGACAGATACAATATAAAATTGCTTTGTTAGCCTTCCCACTGTTCCAACAGTCAACTCTAGTTTGGTCAAAACAAACCCTTAATTCACCAACGTTTATGAGCGAAGCAGTTACACTCACTCTACTCAGCTGCTCACGGAGCAGACTGGCTATGGAAACAAACCACAGAGAGGCTGATAGCAACACAGGCAGAGGGAGAGTGATGTTCTAAATGCCATCTATATAACCTTTAACAGCTCTTCTTAGAAGCAAATACCATACATTTCACAGGAAACCTCATCTAGTGTTACCTGTGCACAAATAATGTCGACTAAATCAAGAAGATATCTTAAATAGATCACTGGGCTGTTGGTGTAGGTCCATTTAGTAAAATTAAAGCTGGAATTATGATGTGTGACTAGATAGGATGGTTTCTACATTTAGATGAACATACTTGGTGGAAGCTAATGTTAACATTAATGTTTTGCGAGGGTTGCAGTACTAACCTATCTAAGAAAATATTAGACCTGAACATATTACCACTGGAAGCTCATAATCATTCGTCTTACACAAATCACTTAGCCTGAAACCCATTTCTATGGAACAATCTTCCCTCTTATCTGCTCTCAGTCTCACACCATTTGTTCCATCTACTGTAGCGCACACGAGTCCATTACTATGATGAAGAAAAGGGTACTGAATCAAAGGAGCTGATGGCAGTTGGCTGTCCTCCAGATGGACTGGCACAGGTGTGAGTGTGTGGCACGCCCTTCTAAGTGTGTATTAGTATTTGTGCTGGTTCTTGTATATGTGTGTGTGTGTGTGTGCGCGTGCGTGTGTGGTGGCCATTTGAGAACTGTTTGCTCAGCATACATGTAAGGGAATGTGTACTGTCATGTTCATGGGAAAACACTCCCTGCTGAGCACACAGTTTTAGCTATAGCTCATATGTTACGTTATATACGTTATGTTATATGGAACCAATCCCGATTTTCCTTTATATTCTTTTTTAGGTCCATTAAACCTGCAGATACCCTGTGTCTGGTTATGTTTTCATATATAGCCTGATATTTATTTTCCTGTAAATTCTACTAGTAATAATGTAGAAAAAACAGGATGCAGTGGAATATATAGGATGGTTTATTGTCATAGGACAGTGATGTGTTTTTTACTGTACTGGCTCCATAGTCCAGTTTAATGGATTTCATATGAAACGCATTCCTATGATGTTGAAGGGGTTATTTTCAGTTTTAAGGGTGTCCAAATAGATGTACGGTGCACAGTGGAAGACTCATAGGGCGCTATTTTAATCGTGCAAGTTCAGTGACATGATCAAAGCGGTATACCACAGACTGTGTGGGCATCTTCACCTGCTATTTTAGGTCATGTTTGTGCAGCAGCAAAAAGTACAAAAGGGCTGGGTGAAAGTGAATTTAGATCAGAGGGTGTGGTTATTAATAAACACACTGAAGCAGTTTATATGATTGCATCCAACCAACGCTATTCCGCTCTTATTTCTACTGTATTTACTATATCCCATTTTAAACACTTGCATCATATCTTAAAATGTGACACAGCAGCATTTACTCATTTATAGAGACTGGTGTGGTTCCGGTTTATTCTCATTGCAACAACTTGCTCTGCACTTGTCATTGTGCCACCACCAACATAGGACCCATAGTCATTTTAGTGCTTTATAGTTGAAGACCAGACTGAATGCAAAAAGCCCCCAAAACCAGCAATTGTGTGTGAATTACAGCCACCTTCACTGCTGTAATTCACTAAGTGTCTGAAGTCTACAATCCAGACATCAGTAGACAGCCACTGACGTTGACATATTTACTATGCACTCTAACCTCATGGTCATTGTTTCATTTCGAAATGTGCGTGTTGGAGTACAGAGCCAACACTGAATGTTCTGTTTAACCAGACTGCTTCATTTCTTGGCCTTACTCAGCTTCAAGGACGTTCCCCTTCTGGTCTTCTGTCCTCTCTGATTTTACAGCACAGTATCTCAGGAAGGACACCATGCCATAAAAATATAATCAAGTTATGGTGATCTCTCTTTCAAAGCATGTTTGCATCCTTACTATATTAACAAAAAGGATGCAAATAAAGGCTGAAAAGACCAGACTATTTTAATCCCCTTGATGTGTTTGTTATTCTGTGATTTCAGCATGGGCTGCTGGCCTTCAAGTTCATCCTGAGCTTCGTCATCCCAGATGTCCCCAAACACATCCAGATCAAACTGGCCCGCCTGGAGTTTGAATCTCTGGAGGCTCTCAAGAAAAAGGTAAAAACCTGAATGCATAGTGTCACTCGAAAGTCATTCTGAACACTTTATTTATTCAAGCAAATAGTGTTAACAGTACTAACAGCAAAAACAAAGAAAAGAAAAATACAGTACAATCAGACAATTGCAGACTCCTCGTGTTGAGAGTTGAGAGTGCATTTATATACTTTAATGAAAGAACAAGCTATTGGCAAGAATCTGGCGATAAGATGCAGGGGTTACTGTTCAATATATTGTGATACTGTAAGTAAGGTGATATATTATTACATAGTATAAAGGAACACAATGCATAAATGAGTAAAAAAAAATCTTTTTTAGGCCATCAGAACAGTGGGATCTGCATTTGTATTGATCCTAGTCCCTGTAACTTCCAACATCACAGCTCTTGTGTATGTTTACAACTCTGCTATCTAGCGGTTGGGGGTTTAAAAGTCACTACAGGGTTTTTGAGAATCAATGCAATCTCACAAAACAAAAGTGTATTCATATTTTCTTACACCCCTTAACAAGACATAGTCATATTGAAGTTGACCCTTAATGGGCATGTACCAGAAAGATACAAGGATCAAGGCAAATATAAATATAATACACATGATGTAAAAAATAAGATGGTCAGAATGTCTGCTTATGAATGCCATTAGCAAGCTTGCAGGAAAGGATAGATTCTCCCCAAAATCATTGTAGGGAAACGAGGCGTGTTGAAGGCACATCATGACCTCCTTGAGCCATTGTTTAAAAGAGGATGAATCATCCAGCTAACAGTCAAGTCACTCTACACACAGTACTCGGCACAAATTGAACACCTTTAATGCAGACCAGTCCTCACCAGGCCCAGAATTAGCCCTAAGTTCAGAGGCTGTTGGAGAAGTACACGAGGTCCCTCATGTGTGACCTATAAAGCAAAAATTGTAGTACACTTCATTAAACACTGTATAAATGGTTTATGTAATGGAGATCAGGCCTAATTTGAGTCACGATAATTCATTTATCAACTTATCATGCAGTATATACAGTATGTAATTATCACTTGTCACGTTATTGACTCATCATATGACATATGGACATGACCTTGATCATTTTTTGTTTACATAAGGATGTCACCATTATTTTAGCCAACATGATGCCAGAATAAACAGCAGGGTTTTCCAAACCAATATAAAGTTTGGACACAGCGCCTAACTGCTTTATTTATTTAGGATACTACATTTTTTTATTTTTTCACATTCCAATTCCAGTGTCTAAATATTCTTAAGAATTAAAAGTTCATTGCTCTTTGAAAATGTGTACTTGCAATACTGTGCTAATCATTATATCGTGGCATAAAATGGTCTTAAAATGACAGTAATATCATTAATCACAATCTTTTCTAGGACAATATATCGTCCAACAAAATAAATGATCATGACAGGCATATGTGTTGTTACACTGCATCCTTTTGAGATGTAAATATTGCATAAGCACACGTTGCAATGTTAATGCTCATCCTCCCTGGTGTATGTTATTAATAACATTGAACCTTTCTAATAGGTATGAACATATGGTGATGTAAACATACATTACGACACACACACTCACACACACACATTTTGCAGCCTTGTTGAGGCTGTTATAAGTCTCTGGCCAAACTACCAGCATACAATGTGGACCGAGTGGAGATCTCATGTATATGTCCATTACAACATGCTGGTCCATAGCTTCGCATTTAGCATTCAGAATGGGCTCTTGATGCCTGTCCCAGACCACTTTGCTGATGACAAATGGTGTGCGTTATGTTAATAGTATTGATATGGCTCCACAGTAAAGCATTAGCTTGCTCGGCACCGCAGCCATTTGTTTGATGTGGACTGACGGGGCTGAGTGCTTCTCTGATGAGCTGTTTGTCTTTTACTTCATCATTTCTCATGTTTTTTTTTTTTTTTGTCCGACTTCTGCTGCTGCACAGTATGCTGCCATTTGGCAGGTTTGACACCTTACATACACTTTCCCCATCCCTAAGAAGGACTGTTCCCATAATCTGGCCCTTCTTATACAGAACACACACAGACATTAGGTGATTTCTGCAGTCTTTACCACTGAAGGTCATGGATTCACATTGTTACAGGTAATAAAAAATGTGTCCTTCTGTAGGATAAAAATGCCGCTTGTGTACAGTAACCTGTTTTGTTCCCAGTCCTGCACAGGCTGCAGTCATGATGAAATGTTTTCTGTTATATGAGCCATCGATGTTTGGTTTGATGCGTGTTGTTCTGTGGTTTCTTGATTGTGCAGAGACAGGTCCATGGAGGGTGAGTAGCTCTGGTTATGTGGGTTTGGATGATACTGGTTTGTGACATTTTTATAGGGTGTTGTGTGTCATTGTTGATATTGATATCATAACTTTCTATTTCACTCCTCATCTAATATCCTAACTCCATTGGTTGTCTGTGAATCTGTTATCTAACATGGGTTCTGTTTGAAAGTTTGGATATTGAGCAAGATCACCTTTTCCACAGCCGTAACCAAAACTAAAACCAGTTATTGGTGAGTCAGCATGCATAACATACTGTATAATTTATTTATGTATCCTGGCGCTTAAAGGACCAGTATGTACGATTTAGCAGCGCCCTTGCCGAATCCTCCCGTTCCAAGTGTATAGGAGAAACTTTGGTGGCCATTAAACTTGCAAAAGTTTTTGGTTTTTCCTTTCTGGGCTACTGTAGCGACATGGTGGTTCAACATGGTGGTTCAAGATGGTGGACTCTGACTATTATATTCCATTTCTGACAATAGATCCTAAATGTTACACACTGGACGTTTAAATGTGCAGCGTGTTTGACCTGGGCCTCTTGGACTCAGGCAGACACACAGAAAAGCACTCAGACTGAGTTAGAGCTAAATTAAGGTAGTTGGTCTGCAGACGTAAGTCAAAGCATTACAATATATTGAGTGAAGAAGCCAGACATAACGTTCTGATGGCTGGAGAACCATCAGGTAGACTGCTTAGACGGAACAAACTGAAATAACAACTGTTGCAGAGACATTTGGCAGTTTTGCATTTGGGCTGTTTTGATTATGTAATTTCCTTTTTGTGGTCTTTTAGCAGTAAAAAGAATTTGTGCAAACATAACACCGGACATGACACAAGTGCACACTGCATATGGGAGATTTAAAACATTCACACAGGATGAAATGAGCTAACAGAGCTTCATCACCACACATTGGGCCTCATGCAAGACACAGTCACATAAAACTCTTTAAGAGAATTTGTGGCATTCCCTAATTTTGTCATATTTAGAATTGTCTTTTATGAACAAACATAGCTTGAGTGGAGGGGACTAACTAACTATTAGTAATTAATTCCACGACTAGTTGCTGGGGAAAGTAATATTATGACTGTAATAGTATAACTAGTAATGCCTTACTGCCCAACACTGTGCCAGACCAAACAGTTCTGGGCATTGCCCAGAGGAACTGCCCCCTAGGGAGCTCAGTACATTACAAACCTTCAAGGGCTTTTTTCTTCTTCATTTGCACCTCCGATATGAACAATGAAGTGACTTAAGCTGGCCGGCGGTTGATGTAGCAATGTCCCTACTGCGCAACGTACAACAACACAGGTTTTTTAAAATGCAAGCGCTGTTGTCAGATGGATGCATTATTTTTTCCTACTCTGTGTCTGATTGGCTAGTGATTGCCTTCATTGAATTTGTGAGGTTAGGGTTAGCCAGTGAGAGGCAATGTAGGGCGGTGTCTTTGTGGAATACAGGTGGGAAGAAAAATAACGTTAATGGATGGATGTATAATGCCAGGGGGACATTGGCTGATGTGTTTTTAACAATCAACGTACACTTACATCTGGACCGATCAATGTACACTTACATCAGTCAAAGTTCCTCTTGTTCTGGGAGAGCACCTCTATGGTCGAACAAGCTATGATCGTCTAGTTCCTGCAGTGTGGACACAATAAAAAGTGTTCCTAGAACTATGAAAAATTCCTCCGGTTCAAAAACGCCTTATGTAACCCTGTAACTGCCTAGGATATAACCCGCCTCTTTCCCAGTATCAGCTGTTGTGCTCAATAGGATAAGCAGTTACGGATGGATGGATGGATGGATGGATGGACGAGACAAAGATATAGGCTTGGTAGAGAGTGGATTAACATGCATGAGGTAAGAACTGACCTGAAACTACAAGAGTGTTGTAGGACTTAATGATGCTGTGAGTTATCTCTTAATTATGTTTGAAAATTAGACAGGAGTGTTTGATTAAAATGCAACAAGCTGCCCTTTCCCCCACGTCGTTCTATAGAATATTAATGCAGTTGAATACAGTGTGCACCAACACGCATTCACAGACAGTCACAGAAGTGTGTGTAGGATAAAGTGCAGCAGGAAACTTGTGGAGGGATCTCAGATTCCCACAGGAGACACTTGATCAGAGGGACAAGTGACTTTCTTGGCTGCACTTCACTGTCTACAAGTCACCTTCCTCTCTACTGCCATCTGAGCAGATCAGTCACAGCACAACAGCACAAGATCATTTCATACCTTAACCCTGACTTCATCCGGCAGAGACCAGCCGAGATCTTTCCATTCAATGTCATCCCATTGAATACATGAAGATATTAGTTGTGCTCAGAGGGACTGTTTGAGTGATGCTACAGTGTGAGAGGAGGCGAGGTTGCAGGATATTTTACATCAGAGTCTTTTAGTTTGTGTTTGCAAGTGTTAGGTGAAGCTGGTCCCAAGGGATGCCTGAATATTTAATAGCCTCAGTCACCCCTACGCCCTCTCCATGGTGGTGACAGGGCTGCGTTTGTGGTCAGATGCTTTGACAGCTGATGAGCAGCTCTTTGGTTTTTGAAATGGTGAAGTTATTGAGTCATCTGAGGGGTGGGGGTCACTGTTTAAAAGGCCTCTCCAAGGCTTTCTTTAAGCTGTTATTTGTTCTTATTTGCTAAGGTTTATTTGGAGTGTCTCCCTGTGACCCTTTTCTAAAGCATGAACGTAACAACTTGTAACCTCGGACATCCTATAACCCGAATTTGTAGGGCTCGGTGCTGTGTTCTTTAATGGCTTCCACTGTATTTTACAGATCAGCTGGGACATTTTGATGATGCCCTATTAAAAAGGCTTTTAAAAGTTTTTTTAATGCTTCCTCGCCGGCAATAGCCGTGGCTGGAGGCATTATGTTTTGGACTTTTCCATCTGTCCATCCGTCCCGTTCTGTTAAATGTGATATCTCATGCCTTGAGGGAATTTCTTCTTCGTCCACTTGGACTCAAGGGTAAAGTGAGGTCACTGTGACCTCACAAACCACGTTTTTGGCCATAACTCAAGAATTGATGACCATATTTCACAACTAGTCAGACAATGAATTGGTGACTTGACTTTTTGACACAAAAATTGACCTTGAAAAACAGGTCTTTGGTCATAACTCAAGAATTTGAATTGATGCAGTAATCATGACAAAATGTCACAAAGATGTTTATTGGGATACAGCAATGAAGTTATGATGGTCAAATTCACTATGACATCATACTTTCCTGGAAAAAAACCTTAAATACCATAACTCAGGGGCAGAAGGGGAGATTGGTGAATTGGTGACATTGGTAGCCATAATTTAAGAATCAGATTTCACACACATGTTGACTGTGATGGCACAATGAGTAAATAATAAGTACCACAGTACATGCTTTCATCTCATCTATTCTGCCCTTCACTAATGAAGTATGAAGACAGAAGTGTTAACCAATGAGTCTGGACCGACATGGACGTAAACTGCTACTTGAC